CAAAAAAACCGTCTGAATGACCCTGCATGATGATTCTGAATGGAAACAATCACCGAGAGGCTCAGTAATGGGTAAAAGTCACCGACTCCATGAGGAAAAATCTTTAACGTAAAAAATATGGGTTTTTTTTTACGTATTAAAATTGTTAATAATAATTCACTTGGACGAATTAAAACAGGTGAAAAACATAAAAGTCGACCTGCGGATGTTTGTTTTTCTGTTCCAGCAACATCCATGATCAATTACTAGATATATACTGTGTATATATATATATATATATATATAAATGAACATATATAAACGTACATACATACATATCAAGGACTCTAGGACTCTCTCTCTCTATATATATACACATATGTATGTATGTGTATCTGTATATATTAGGTAAGAGATTTGATTAGATAGAACTTTTTTAGTCTGTCAGGAGTTCCCTTTGGGAAATTAAGGGTCTATATATATATATATATGTATATATATATATAGACATAAACTATGGGTATGCGTGGAGGGAGCGCTCCTTTATGGAAAGCGGTGTAGGTCTGCAGGTTCCCACACTTTCTAGCTGCTGTTAACACCATAATAAACACAAATGGCATCTGGTGCCGTGGACGTACGAAGCAGCTATCTGTGTTAGCTAACTGTGAGAACCGCAGCAGCAGCAGTAATTATTATCATTAAAAGTAATAAATGAACTCACCGAATAACTACATCATACTGGTCGATGAAGTTTCCCAGGGAGCTGTTTTTAATGGAGAAACTGTTTCCTATTACTGCACATCTTCTACATTCAAGCCTGGAGAGAGACATCACACACACAGAGACAAAAAAAAACACCCATATAAATATAATGGCAGCAGTAAAAACCTGATTCAAGGCAGAGGAAAGTCTCACACTTACTTTTCGATGTTGTCTGGCACCTGATAATTTGCAGTCACGGCGAGGACTTTGAGCAGCAGCAGCTCTGGGAGGAGAGCAGGGAAACGGAGAAGTTGAAAAATATTCACCAGCATCAGCCACAAAAGGAGGGGCTGTGGGGGAAATAAATCTGATCTATAGATCCCACGTAGATCCGTCGTCTCAGTCCGAGAGACAGAAACCACGTGGTGTTCTAATCCCTCCACGGTGACAGTTCATCACCAGGTTGAAGTTACACCATCAACCACCCGTCACTCAGGGTTTGCACCACACCATACTGATCAAGTGTGGTTTTGTTTTGTGTGTGTGTGTGTGTGTTCATGTGTGAAAGTTCAGAAATGTTTTGCTCAGTTCTTAAGAAATTTCCGCTCGGTGAAGAATGTCTTCCCATGCATAACTT